TAGGAAAGCCATTGAGAAAATTTGGGAAAAATCTAATGAACATGAGATTGGAAGAAGACAGAGTTAGCAACAACTGTGCCTAATGCTTAAGCAAACTTGGGGAAAATAAGAACAAGGATTGACTTCACTTCTTTCTTTCACATGTTCTTCACTTTGTGCGGAGAATGGCAGCACTCATTGGTGATGCCGACTACGATGCCGGCGAAATGTCTCAGAATCTACCAAGTCTACTGTCTGATGCTGGGAATTATGATAACTACTATGACAGAGGACTTCGACCGACGGGCGTTCTTTAAAGTCACCCCTACTACAAGACTATGTATCAAGAGCGAGATCAACCCACTTATATAAATCGATAGGAGACTGCGATCACACCAGGGGCCACCCCATCTTGTTCTTTATCTCTCACCTTTTCCTTATTATCACCGACTTATTCTTGATAGCACCTGTAATCCTCAATCTATATAATTAGGTTGGTTAATTTCCGAAGGCCTTAACTGAGAGTGGGCAGCATCTTCAAGATGCCAGGTCTCCTCTAGCTCTTTTATATCAGTCATATCGCTAATATGAATATCATAAAAAACTACCCTGAAAACCCGTTGTTGATTTTCCTCAGGTGCTAATTCCTTTTTTTGATGTGTGATTATTACACTTATAAGATAAATAATTGGTGTTTGATAAATCCCATGGCATATCTGTTGGAATTTTTATTTCGTATGAAGTGTATGAAGAAGATATTCGAAAGTCGATCTCACCAAAAGAGGACGGTTGAATCTCGTTGTACTACTGTCGTTTGGATTTTATACGACGTTGAGATTGATGCAGTCCACGAGACTTCCTCTCTCGTTTCAGGTAAATCTGGGTTGAGCTAGGGCAAAAAGACTATTCGGCTCTATCTTACCTCAAGCAAATCAAAGCAAAAATAAATAAATGGAGTGGTTTGGCTAATTATCTTTCATACTGGTACTGCTACTTTGCTCGAGTATGTGCGTGTGTGTATGTGTGTGTATTAGCAAACTTTTGACTAAAGTGTTGGAACGGCTGACAAATTTATTCCTGGAAAATAATTATCCTTTGGGCCCCAACGAGAATAATATCTCTTTACTAAGAAATATATTTTCAGATGGAAACCATTTAGTCAAAGATAGACAAGCGGACACCTTTTTCCATGTCCTAATTTTTCCGTCATGCCTTCTTTCAAAAAAGATAGACGAATTAGTAAGGAGGTGGTGGACAAAAACGGTGTTTAAAGAAACCCTTACACTTTTTCTGTTATGCCGTCTTTTAAAGAGAAATATGCACCATTATCGAGATCCGTCTGCTACAAGATTGTTTGCTCATGTGGTCCATCTTATGTTGGTGAGATATGCCCTCGATATATTGGGGGAATACAAAAATGCTTGTAAGGGAAACTGGGTCCAACGGTCAGAAGTAGCCAAACACATAGTAGAATCTGGACCTGAGATAAAATGTTCTAAAACTGGTAAGTTTGGTGATTACAGTAGGTCTGCGGTTAAAAAATATAAGGGAGGCTTTTTAAATTAATAGATTAGGAAATACGTTGAATATGAAGAACGGTGGTAGAAAGTTAAGTAAGAATGCTTATGCTTGATTGACAGATTGAAATAGATACTTGTTGAACCACACTACAAAAAAAGATGACCAAAATAACGATAATTAACAAAGTCATTCTAGATCGATCTATGCTTTTAAATTCTTATGTCTAAATGAGACTATATAAAAGCTAAGATAGAGCCGGATAGCATTCTTGCCCTAGTGCTAACGTGATACTCTTACAAGCACGACACCCAACCTTATTCCTTGTATAGAAGTTGTTTGACCTTGTTTTCGCAACTTGGTCATATTGGTAGGAATACTTAGAGGAACGCACCTAGTCCGGAGTCCATTGTATGCATCATCATTTCCAAAGTAGGACCGTGGACGTGGTACATTCCCAGACATTTCGCCGGCATCATAGTCGGAATCCTCAATGAGTCTCGCAATTTGTAGCACCATATTACAACTCATCAGAGAGGAATAAAGCCGATCCTTTGACCAAATGTGTGCTAAACAGTTGTGGTATCTCTCCTGCCCTGGGCTATTCACATTTCCTATATCCTACTATGATGCCTTCCCTGTCACAATTTTTACCGTGCTTATTTTTAATGTAGTGTGGTGTGCTCCTTCGAGCAGCATTCATGAAAAACCCTTCACACTCCACACTGTTGTTATCACCCTCTTCACCCTTGTGCTGGGAATGTTGGCCAGAGTCTTTCATATTGTTACGTAGTCCTTCCCTTGGTCCTATCAAAATCTCCCTCTTGCCCAGTCGAATTCGTCTCCTATCTCTCTGGTACATGTATCTCACTTGACCCCTGCCCCCCCATCTGTGATATTCGAGGCGTGATTCGTCCATCCCCTGCACCT